ACGCTCACGCTCACTCTCACGCTCACGCTCACGCTCACTCTCACGCTCACGCTCACGCTCAAGCGCACTGTGCACACACACTCACCAATTTTATGCGTGTCCCTAAAGGGCATCTTATCCAGCAACCGCAGACCGCGTTCAAAGGTGCCGTCCTGCTCGTGCTCAGGCAGTATAGGCAGTGGGGTGAGTGCGTCTGGTTTCCCATCGTACTGAAACAACTGCGCCAGCACAAACGACGGCAAGAACTCATTACCGGCCCTCTTCTCCAGCTCCTCTTTCTCGTCCATGCGACTTGTGGGCGTGGGAACTGGATATGCACAGTGGGGTAGATACATGAGCATGTACGCGTGTGGGAGGGTATCCAGTTTCAGTTAGGTGGCGATGGATGCTATGCTACTTGGTGTGAATTGTTGCAGTATATTTGCATGTGCAAAGAGAAGTACTGGCACCCCGTACCAGTCCCTTTCTCCAACTCCTCTGTCTCGTCTATGCGACTTCTGAGCGTGTACACTGGGTATGCACGGTTGTGTAGGTACGTTTGTGTGTAACCGTGCGTGTGCGTATCCCATATAAAGAATCAGAGGTCTGTAGCATCACTGCTCTGCTGAGAGTACAACCGCAGAGCCGCCCACAAGACCAGAGCCCACTCCACTATGGTTGCCGTTAACGTTTGCACGTGCAAAAGCACAGCAGCGCACGATTACACACATAGACGTTCAGGTGCACTCAGAAAGGGCCATAGACCATGGCTAACGGCTGCCTGCAATAGCACCGGGCGCTATAGGTATAGCCCCTTGATATACTTCTTGGGACAGACACACCCCACAGTGACCGCTCCATGCACATAGTTATCTACTCAAGTACACGAAGGAAGCTATAATACCCATCACGACTATCACGTTTTCACCCAGAATGCCGTACTCACCGAAGTTCGGCACATCCTTAGCACTACGTGCCGGTGTCTCGGGAACGTTAGCGTACCGTGCTGGCTTAGAGAGCATTGTGGTGGTGTTGTGAGGTTGTCGGCCGTTTACGCCTAAGAGATTGCCCCTGTGGTATGTACATAGACATCTGTTAACGCGCATCGCCTAGGATGCCTCTAGTGTTACGTACGTTGGGATGTGTTAGTGTGTGTCGCCTGAATGACCTCTGTGATATATACGTTGTATGAATACATAATTGCATACAATGTTATATACTAAATACAGTTGTAAAGACATATATACGTCCATGAACATAAGATTGTATACAGAGCTATAGACGTATACGAATACAGAGTTATGTACACGTGTACAAACAGAGTTACATACATCTATGAAGCAAGGTAAATATATACATAATTACAATATTTTATATAGAGCTATATACATATATGAATACAATACAGAGCTAAATACATATATGAATACAAAGTTATGTACTAATACGAATACAGAGTTATAATCAGTCAAATACAAAATATGCATAAATAAATACAGAGTTATATACAGAGTCATATATAATATACATAAATAAATACACAGTTAAATACATATCTGAATACAAAGTTATATACAGAATAATATAACGATATACATAAAAAAGTACAGAGTTAGATACATATCTGAATACAGTTATATACAGTCATATACATAGTATACATGAATAAATACAGAGTTGAATACACATCTAAATATAGAGTTATATACAGAGTCATATACATAATATACATGAATAAATGCAGAGTTAAATACGTATCTGAATACAGAGTTATAAACAAGCTCATATACATAATATATATATATAAATACATGGCTGAATACATAGTTATATACAGAGTCATATACATAATATACATGAATAAATGCAGAGTTAAATACATATCTGAATACAGAGTTGTATACCTCAACGAGTACAGATGAAATATATATATATATATATATATATATATACAGAGTTATATACATCTATAAATAGAGTTAAATACAGAGCTATATATACATACAGAAATACAGAGCTATATGCATCTATTAATAGAGTTAAATACAGAGCTATATAAATATATGAATGCAGAGTTATATACATCTATTAATAGAGTTAAATACAGAGGTATATAAATATATGAATACAGAGTTATATACGTCTATGAAGAGAGCTAAATACAGAGGTATATAAATATATAAATACAGAGTTATAAAACTCTATGAATAGAGTTAAATACAGAGCTATATAAATATATGAATATACATCTATGAATAGAGTTAAATACATAACCATATATATATGAATACAGAGTTATGAAAATCTATATATAGAGTTCAATACAGAGCTATATAAATATATAAATACAGAGTTATATACATCTATGAATAGAGTTAAATACAGAGCTATATCAATATATGAATGCAGAGGTTTATACATCTATAAAATACCACTACTTATACGTGCAGATGATCTTAACAGAACAGTGTATGTGCTTCATTCCTTACCTAGGAATATTGCCGCCGCCAACTGCCCCTCCGCTAGCACCTGCGCCCTGCTCAACCTGTAAGGGAGATGCCATGTAGACAGAGACAGAAATCTATTATTCACAATAAACAGCAAGAATGGTACGAGATACACGATCACATCCAGAGAGAGAACACTATACATTTAAACTATGGTACGAAAACACAAAACATGTAATATCCTTTTAAACAGACAAAACCTGCTATTCCATTCGGACAAGAATAGAAAGTGAAATGCGCCAGTGGTCATTGATGGATGGATGTTATGTATACACAACGCAGCGAGTGAGGCCTAACCTACTAACATAAGCATATGTGGATGCCACGAACACGTGAAACCAACCCAAAGATCATCCACGGCCACACGCAGCACTAGAGCTACGCCTGTCTATCACGCCCCCCTCCCCCCTCCCCCCTTTCTGTACTGACATACATACTGATACAACCACATACACTTCGAGAGCTACTCGATACCCGCCCTAGCACCCACACATCTATACATCTACACTCATACCCACGTGCACTTACGTTCACACCAGCACCAGCAGCACCCGCACCCGCACTATAGCCATGCATACGCGTTCGGTTGTATCCTGCGGCAGTACTACCAGTTACACCTGCGCTTGCGCCGGGGTCATTGGGATGGCTCGTGCTCTGTGCCTTGTTTGATGGGGCCTGGAATGACAGCATAGGTGTCTTGTGCATAGGGCTAGGGCCGTTGTCCGGGTGCACCGGCGTGTCCGCTGCACCTGCCCTGTGTCCTCGCGCAGGGCCCTGGGCACGGATGCGGCTCTCCCCGTTGTTGGTGTTGGGGTTGGGGTTGGGGTTGTTCGTATCGGCGGGAGTGTTCGTAGTCATCTGTGTAGAGGTGTTTGTATGTGCTTGTGTGTGTATTTTCCCTTTGGTGTGTGTGCCCCCGTGGCCGCCCGTGGTCGTGGTCGTGGTCGTGCTGGTCTTCGTATCGGTGACGGTGATTGGCGGCTGGCTCTCCTTCAGGGCCACCTCCTGCGGCCTACCCCCACTCGCCGTACCTACACTACGCCCACCGCCCGCACCCGCGGTGCTGCTCCTATCCCTCTGCCCTCGGTCTCCTATGTAGGTAGGCCTACGCTCGGCACTCTCTCCCATACCCAGTATCACTGTAGGTGTGCGTTTTTGTGCGCTCGCCTGTCCGTGCCGTGAGCCATTTCGGGCCATCCGCCCGCCTGAGCTGCGGTGTGTGGGGGGGTGACCCACACTCTCCGCCTGAGAGCTGGTATTCGCGCGTGTGCGTGTGTACGTGCGGGTAGTAGACGTGTTCGGTGTACCGTCCCCCTGCCCCCGCGAGCCTCCGGCCCCCATACCAATACCCTCTACCACCTGCCGCACCTCCTCATCCACACTGGTGATAGACGCACTGCGTAGGCCTTTTGCGTGTGCGTGTGCGTGGGTGTGGGTGTGTTGGCTGCTCTTCCGATGGGTTGTGTGCTGTGCACTCGTAAACCTCTCGGCCACCGGCGCGGTCTCCTGCGCTCGCGCGTGTGCGTGGTACATCCCCTGTGCCCGAGACGGGGGCGGCGATTGTCCCAACATCCCACCACCCGGCCCCATGTCCTGGCTAACAGGGCTGTCCTCGACCACAGTGTCTGCACCTATATGCGTATCGCTTTGGGTGCTTTGTTGGCGCTGCATGGCTCTGCGCACAGCCTCGTTGGGGGAGGGGGGGGTGTCGGGGTGTAGGCTCCCCTGTGTGTGTGGGCGTGGGCGAGTGTCTGTGCTTGTGCTCAGGGAGTGTTCGGTGATCTCGGTCACTACGTCTGCCGCGGTGTCTGGCAAGTGCACCACCAGCACATCGTCTGGCAGATCCATGAGGGTGTGATGGGGCGGTTGGCCCGGCTGAACAGAGCAGAGAACCTGGTACCCAGGGACGGTATGAGTGAAAAGGGGACGACGCAGTACAGATAAGTAAATAAGTACAAAAGACAACGGACAAAGGAGCGGTATCAGAAGGTGTAGGACAGATAAGTAAATAAGTACCAAAGAGCAGTGGGAGTGTAGTGACTTTACGGGGAGACTAGAAAACGTAGTACTACAGAGTAGCAAGAGTAAAAGTGTATTTTCACTGCGGATTTGGTACTGATTGACACTCAGCTATTGATATTTGCCGAGTGCGTATGCGTAAATTGACAGATATGTGTACATACTGTAGATATGTATATGCCCATATATAAAAACATGGCAAGACATCATGCCTATGTACAATATGTGCACACAATATATACAAATATTAACTATATTCATGTAACACATGTAAATATCGACAGAGATATATATTATCTCACAACCGCACACACATATATATCAATATAATACGAATATATGAATATAATAATATAACAATATAAAATAATAATATACTAATATAATAATATAACAATATAAAAATATAATGATATAATGATATAATAATACAATACTATATTAATATACCCTATGTACATATACATAAATACTAATACTTAAAACAAAAACAAACAGATGTACACGTACACCTCTAATTCCACGCCTACACATAGCACCCCACCTCCCCGGTAGTCACACCCTACACCATACCCACATATACTACCCCACAACATAACAAACATGGCCCACTCTCCCACGCACCGGGTCGCTGTGTTTGGTAGGGCTGATCATCACCACGTCCTTGTGTGTGCCTGTGCGCGAATGCAGTCGCATCTGGTAGCCTATGCTCAGTGTCAGGTTCTTTGCCGTGGGCGTGGGCCGGTAACTGGGAGGGCTCACGCGCAGTTCATTGTCTCTGCAGGTGGATTGTACGTATACAGTTGGTGTTTGGTAGTGCATGTGTGTGTGTGTGTGTGTGTGTGTGTGTACGTATACGTAATTGCACATGCGTGTCATGTGTACACTTGGTGTTTGTTATTGTGGATGTGTATGTATGTATGTTGCGTGTCATATGTGTACACTTGGTGTTTGCTATTGTGGATGTGTATGCATATATGTTGCGTTTCATATGTGTACACCTGGTGTGTTCTATTGTGGAGGTGCGTGTAGGTATGTATGTATGTAGTTGTATATGCGTTGCATGCACGGACTTGCTTGTGCGCGCCTATAGGAATGATTGGCATACGGAAAAGACATACACAATGCCTGGCACTAGCCACACATCTACACAGCAACATACGTCTACACAGAGTATCAGTACGTGCAATATTTACGTACAAGCTATGACCATCATTGACTTAGGTGGTACATACGCACATATGTATACGCCTACATAGATGATCAGTGCATGCGTTATATTCACGTACACATACAACCACCATTGACCTGTGTGATACCTCCACACACTTGTACACACCTACGCAGAAGACCAGTGTGTGTGTTGTATTCACGTACACGTACAATCATTTTCAACGTAGTGATCCTCCCATATACCTCTACACGCCCACACAGATGATCCGTGAACGCGATAATAGTACGTATACGTATACACACACCTGAGTGATCCGCGTGCCTTGTCGTTGGGGGGCATTGGCATGGGCGTGCTACGTGTTGGCCGAGTTGACTGTGGGTCTTCTTGGGACAGATCCTATGGTACAACCAAGGGAATTACATTGAGATATACTACTTTACACTACATTACATTAAGTTATGCTTTGTTCTACTACGAGATACTACTATGTAGTACGTGATACTGCGTTATACTGCAATGCATTACTTTGTACTACGTTATACTGATATATATATATATATATATATACACGCCCTAATACACAGCTACAACCACTCACATCACACATCCACCTACCGTTGCGCCCAGTCTGTGTGTCAGTTCGTCGAGAATGTCTGAGCCGTGCACATCCGCGTCGCTAGTGATAAGCTCGGCCAACTCACGGTGGGAGTTCATCGGTGACAGTGGCATGGGCGTCATGTCGCCCGACGCATCATCGCTCGGAGGGGACAAGCCTCGGCCCATAGTAGGTGAGTCATTGTCAGTGTAAGGGTGACTGTGGTAGTTGTATGGTAGGAGAGAGAGCGAGGAGATTTAGTGTATGAGGGCGCCTTGTCGATGTCCGTGGATGATCACATTCATATCGTTCACACACACACACACATATATATATATATATATATATGTGTGTGTGTGTATTC